GAGAGGGCGGGGGAGCCCTGGTGGCTGACCCGGCAGCAGGCTCTGATCACATTCTGGGGAGGAAGCGCTGACTACAGAGGAGCAGGCCTTGGTCCTGCTGAGGAAGCAGACAAATGCTCCCTTTCCAAGGTCCGCAGAGGAGATGTGCAAACAGAGATGAAGCAGGTCCCTGCGTGTGGGAAAAGGGACAGATTCTGGGACATAGTCTCTCTCTCAGAACAGAGCACACTGATTGGTACAAACTGCGAAAAGGGACGTGCAATATCTCCCGTAGCTGCCAGCCACCTAGCAAAATATCACCACCTACAGAGAGAAAAATATTTTTAATCTTTCCAAATCAGGTAGCAAGATTAAGATAATCAGGGCATTTGCAGAACCCCGTCTGGTGAGCTTATTCATGCAGCACAATACAGACGCAGGCAACACTACACACAGCAGTTAATATTAAAGCAAAGACGTGTGAGTTATGTGTCATTCTGAATCTACATTTAAAAGTATCACTTAAAAGAAGAAAGTAGAGCCCTGGCCAGCGTGGCTTCGTTGGTTAAAGAGTTGTCCTGTGCACTGGAACATCACAGGTTCGATTCCGGTCAGGGCACATCCCTGGGCTGTGGGTTCAGTCTCCGGTCAGGGTGTGTACAGGAGGCAATCAATCCATGTGTCTCTCTCGCGTCGACGTTTCTCTTCCTCCCTCTTAAAAAAAAAAAAAAGTCATGAAATTAACATCAGTTTACTCTAAAATTGAGGGGTGGCAGTTAAAAAAAATCAGAAGTTATTTCCTGGGAAATCTACATTTTTCTCTCGGCAGGGAACAGCCCAAGGGTAGAAGACAAACTATGAAAGTCACAATGACATCACCCAGTGCAAACACTGGCAGTGCTTCCGTAATGTCTGCTCGTTCCTGCCTTGACAAGAGCGCGCACAGAAGAGTGTGCCTAATGAATGAAACACTTGATGCCTGGTTGGTTCGACATGGCCATTAGGATAAGATAAATGGCAGTAGGATACATTTCAAAAACATAAGAGAAAAAAATTTTAGCTAATGGTAGAGGGAACAGAGTAAAACAATGGATATAATCTGAAGCTATATCACCAGGGACGCAGGAAAGTAATCGCCAGGTAATGATAATAATGCCAATACATAAAACACTGAAGACCACAGGCTAACAGTCTACAAATCTAAGAATGATTGTTGCACTATGATAACAAACCTAGAAACATGAAATAAAAGTCACCTAAGAATGCCTTGAGATATAATTGTGACAATACATGAATAAATCTGTCCAAGAGACAAATCTGCGTAAGTTTGCCCTAACACAGTTATTCTTTTGGACCTAACAGATTCATTCATTAAAAGGTAAGATAAGTAAAACATAAGAAAGTAATAAGCAAGAAAAGCTGTCCTTAAAGCCATTTTACCTCCACAGGCCTGATTTTCCTCAACTATATAATAAGAGACTGTTCTGGGTAATGATTACAGTCCCTCTTGACTTTGGCCTTCTAAGAGTACAGCGGGTCCTCAAATCATGTTGTTTTGTTCAACATGGTTTTGTTATAACATTGATGAGTTGCCATAGGAACTTAACTCTTATCGCTATCAATTGGCCTATCCTAAAATGGGTTTTGTTTTATGTTGTTCCACTTAAAGTCACAGAACCTACCGATGGTGTCAAGTGAGGACTTGCCATATAAAAACCAAAGAGACAAAGACACAGAGGCAGAAAGACAGCAACAGAGAGGGAATTGGATAAACCAGTGAAGACCACTGGTTCCTGCATTACTTGGTCTGTTTATAATACCAAGGAAATCTGATATTTAAAATGTTTTATTAATTTTTAGAAAGGAAGGAAGATATACATATATATACATCAATTGGTTGTCTCCCGCACACACCCAGACCAGGGATTCAACCCCCAACCTGGGTATGTGTCCTGACCAGGAATCAAACCCACTACCTCTGGTGTATGGGATGACTCTCCAACCAACTGAGCCACACCAGCCAAGGGAGAAATTTGATATTTAAATAAAATAAAGATTTAATCAATGCCAATGGCAGGCTTATAAGCCAGGAAATAATAGGTACCGAGCCTAGAATCATTAAAGTTGAAAGTTTGACAAATAATAATATGGTTGATATTGTTGTAATTAGATACAAACAGAACAAATTCTTTTGAGGGACCAAAAAGATTTGTTCATCTTGACAGCTATCCCAATACACTTTCGTTTATATAATGAGTGCGAGTTCTTATTTATTTGGTAAAAATTTTATTCAACGTTTGTTGTATATCATTAGTTCTTCTGGGTGCTGGATATATAAAGATAAAAAAGATATTATTCCTGCCATTAGAGATCTCACTGTCTAGTGAGAGATACAGAAGCATAAATGGACAAACATAATGAAATAAGGTAAGGCGGGGGCAAGGAGTAAGGCGATCAAAGAGGGAGGCTGCTGAATGAGTGGACAGCTGAACTGAATCTCTTAAAACTAATGAGCATTCACTAGGTTGGCTGGTGAATGTTGGCCTTCCAACCAAGGGACTCTCATGAACAAAGTCGTAGGAGGGCAAATATAGCCTGATTAGTGCAAAGGACTATAAATGTTTTATTGCTGCTGGAATGTAAACTAAAGGGAAGAGATGCAGCTGTAAAAAATGGCAAAGGCCAGATTGTGGAGAGTTCTTTAAATGCTAAAGAGTTTGAACTTTATTCTCTAAGGGTTATATGAAAATACTGTGGGATTTTAGGTTGAGAGGTAACATGGCCAAAAAGACATTTCAAACAGACTTCTCTGGAGGCTGAAGGAATTTAAAAAGGAAGGTGGGAACGAAACTAATTAGGAGGTCATTTTAATAGTCCAGACAAGAAATGTTGAGAGCAATGATAGTGGAAATCAAAAGGAAGAGATACTTCCAGCAATAATCAGAAGACAAAAATGACCAGACTTGCTAATTGATTAGAGGAAGAGGGTGATGGAAACAAAAGAGCTAAGATGAAAGACTCCCAGGTTGAAAGGTTGAATGATCTGAACACCAACTAAAACAAAATATGAGTAGAAATCGGCTAAAAAAGGGAAGAAAATCAGTTGAATTTAGGATGTGTTGAATTTGAGATGTCCAAGGGCCGTGCAGTTGGAAAACAATACATGGAGTTGGACATAACACCGATGATGAGTTATCAGCACATTGTCAAGAGTTGAACTGAGCATGTTTAAGACCAACCAGAAAAGGTACAAGGACAGAGGGCCCAAGGGAGAACCCTGAGCAACACCTCTGCTGAATAGATCAATAAAAGAGGACATGGGCGAGAGGGAGTTACAGGATATCAGGAGCTCAGAACTTCAAAAACCAAGGGAGCTGTGAGTTCTGAGTTGAAGGGAGTGACCAAAATCAGAAATGCTGCCCTGGCAGGTGTGGTTCAGTGGTTAGAGGGGTGGCCCATGCACCAAAGGGTCTGAGGTTTGATTCCCAGTCAAGGGCATGTACCTGAGTTGCAGATTTGATCTGGGCCACAGTCTGCAGGAGACAACCAAGCAATGTGTTTCTCTCACATCTAAGTTTCTCTCTCTCCCCCCCTCTCTCTTTCTCTCTCTCTCTCTTCTCCATTACTCACCATTAATCAACTTCCAGATGTTTGATTTAGATCATTCCTAATTTTGTTCAGACCTCTTATCCCAGTTCTTTCAAGTTTTCTGCAGTTTCCCCACCATTTAAGTGTTTTTATTAGCCATCCATGGAATTTTGCCAGATTCTCTATATTTTATTTCATGGGTAGGACTTAAAAACTGAAATATACTGAGGGCCTGATCAGTAGAGGGGCTAAGTGTATTATCTATATATCTCAGCATTGTGCTTGCTTTTATATCCACAGGGTTCCATGACACCTCTTTATTTTGCAATACACAGTTTGGCTTTACACAGCCAGACCTGTCTTAAGTCCTATAGTAAGAATTATATAACCTTCCTGAAATTTTAGAATTGGAAGAAATCATAGGGCTCATCTAGTCTATTTTCCCACTTAAGGATTTTTCCTACTGCCCCCCTCCAATGGTTGTCGAGGTCAAACTCAAGAAAATACCCTTTCCCTACAGGAATGTAGTAGGTTTTTAAAAAGTTAATACATTATACAATCAATTTAGTGCATCATAAGCAGCATTTTTAAAATAATAAAATGGGATGGATAGGATAGAATAAGCTAAGATAGGATGAGATCAGATGGACTATCAGAGTCTATTAAGTGCAATAAGGATAGATACAGGTTCATGAAACTTGTTTCCATTTGGGGAGGGCAAGTGTGTGTGTGTGTGTGTGTGTGTGTGTGTGTATGTGTGAACTGTACTTCTTACTGTGAGGTACAGTTCAAAACAATGCCTTGCAGAATTACTCTTACCACCCCCAGGAAATTAATTTGCCTAGTGTTTACTTCATCGAGCTTAGCTTTCATTTAAATCTATTTTTTAAGTCTATCTCTTTTAACTTCCTAGCTTCAATCCAGCTCAACTCTACTCCTGGCCTTTTTCAATTGGTTGGCTCATTTAGGCTAACTGTGTAGCATTTTACCCAGTAGCATTTTATCATGATGAAGAGTGTAAAAAGCTTCATTAAAGAGTTCTTCCTCCCCTCCCCTGTCTCCATACCATCCTCTGTTATTTTTCTAGTGCCTAACTGGAAACCCCTCATTTGCATTTTTTTGGCTCTCTGATTCAAAGGTGCAGCTACGGCGTTATGGCACGTGCCTTTTTTGACGCCTCTGTGAGGCCAAGACGTGGTTCTTTCTTGCAAATCACGAAACAGATCTAAATTGCTCCCCCTGCTCCCGAATCTCCCCAAATTAAACTCACTGCAGCTTTTCTGCTATTGTTGCTTTGTTAGCTCTTTACCTTTGGATGGAGAGAAGATATTCGACCTGGTGAGCCCCTGCACACCCGGAAATTCTGCTTCGATGCCATCTCACACAGCAGCGCTGTCACTCTCTACGACTGTCACGGCATGAAGGGGAACCAGCTCTGGGGACACCGGAAGGTAAGATCAGCTCACGGCGGGCATTCTCAAACCCTCGGCCTAAAGGCTTCCTAACTCAAAGTTTTCTTTTTAAACTCACTGATGGCAATTGTTACCGGGACATGTGTGCATGTATTTGGCTCATACACTTGGAGGCCGCCAGCAAAGATCAGGGGAGAGGCAGAGTGGGAAGGCAGGGGCATGCTTTTGGCTCCGCTTGTTGTGTGTACCCCCATCACAACCAGTTATGATCGAGAAGTGGCTTTGAACCTGAGCACTAGCACCACAGGGGAGGGACGAGCCGTATCCCAGACAACTCCCAAAGCGAGAGGCCACACACCCGATAAACACGTGAACATATATGTGCTTGTTATGAACCCCAAATCCTCACAGAGAGAGAGATTAACATCCATTTATTATACATCTCAGGCTCATTGCTTGGGAGCTGTCTGGGTTAAAACAAGTACATTTACCCAAATAATTACACATTCGTGTAGATGTAATTATTGCAGCCCTTACACAGAAAGTGACCCACCTGTAACTTGGCCAAGATCCTGCCCAAGTGTAGCAAAAGAGAACTTATTTGGGGAATTTAAAAGTTTAAAAAATAATAAAGTTAACATTTAATGATAGGAAAAAGGGTTCAAAAATAAATATAAAAATCACATTTTATTGACTCGATAAAATAAAGCGCAATTAAATTTTTATTTTAAAATATTTTTATTATAAATATTATATCATGCCTTTTTCTTAATTCTTTGATTTTTAAGGCAAGACTTAGCTTCTGATTAGCAAATACTCCACAAGCTTTACTCTGCCCCTCAAGTTTGTATAACTGCTGGAGGCCATCACAGCCAGGTAGAGGCCGCCCTCGGTTTGCCTTTCACTCTCTGGCATTATTCAACTTTTCCCCAGACTATAAGAAAAATGTCACACCCACCACTTTAATCATGAGCTCTGGCCATCCTGTTACTGAGGTAACATCAGTATCCCCTGCAATTACAGAAAGTAAAAGGGAAAAACCTGCAGAGAATCAATATACGGCAACCACTGGTTTTAATACCTATTTCCTCACTTAATAAGCTTTCTGGTACCTAAACTTAACACTCACAACATTATACCCTCATAATATCTGGCAGAAAAATGTGAAATATCAGTTGTTATATCCTTCTACAAGCTAATTTAAAATCAAAAGAGCTAATAAGAATATAGCGTGGATATAATACGAGGGAATCACTATGGTAAGAGAATCTCACTGTTTTCCTTCTAAAATACATCATAAACGATTAATCTTGTCAAACCCTTTTACTATTCAAAGTGATCCAGCCTGTGTGTGGTGCACTAAGGAACTGTTTTGGTTTGGTTTGATTTGGTTTGGTTGTTTAATGGTTATAGTCTGACCTTTAAGAAGTTGCTTTCTGGGCACATCAGTGGAATACCTGATTCTGCATTTGCCTAGCATGCTGGTGGTCCCTAATAAACAGCCCACTTCTCATTACTGTACATTTATAGCGTGAGAGACAGAACACTCAATAACGTGCCATTAAGCCCAGAAAATACGGTTGTTTTCATTAGAGAGCTTACAGGAGCTTACAGATGGATAAGACCAGCTAATACGTGTGCATGCAGAGCTCCTGGGGAGAGAAAAACGGCAGCACTGACTTCAAGAGGTAACTTCCAGCTTTAACACTTTAAACCCTTCGGGGATCCTCAGGGACCTGCGAGAGCGAACCACGAGAAGCAATTGAGCTGTGGCTCTTTTCTCAGATTTTCTTGTAGCTGTTTGCTTTGCATTACTTAGCAAAAGGTTACACTCACTGTGTATTTATATAACAAGCAAGGTATTTATACATAATCAGAAACATGCCAAAGGCTCAAAATGGAAAGTTTCTGAAATATCTCATCTTAGGGGATGACTAAGGCCTATTCAAATGTACCTATTTTAGAAAATTCCTCTTGTCTGTTTCAAGGGCTACTCCCAAGGCATTGAAAGTGAAACCATGAAGAGAGAAGTCCCTGGGGTTCTGCCTTGTGTGTTTAGATTCATTACTTGGCCCTGGGGGTTTCCAGAAGGATTAGCAATATTTTGAGTCAGCTTTGGAGCTGCCCCTTTTTTATTAGCTTATTCATGAATAGACAGGGTCCCAAAGACCCCACTAATTGCCTAAAGGACCTCAGTCTCCTAAGCTCTATGGTAATCATTACCTCCAACCATGAAGCAGGCACTGGGCAAGTGCTTTATGCACATTCCCCCCAAACCTCTCAACCACCTAAGTACTGTCAGGTACAATTCATAGAGGAAGAAACTGATACTAGCAGATTTGTGGCAGAGCCAATATTCAAGCGCAGGTGTGTCTGGCTTTAAATTCTCTTCTCTTTCCTCTGCTGTGCTCTTTAGACATCAGATCGATGATAGGAGAGGTCCCAGCGCCTGTTAGTTCAGCACCACACATAGCGGCCAACCCCATTCTGGGCTGCATGGAGATTCTTGGAGAGGGAAGGTGGCCAGAAGGGACCTTAAGTGAAGTGAAGGTAGCTGTCAGGCCCCACTTTCCGACCCATTGGCAGCCATCAGCTCTCAGCTACTGTTGTTTATTCAGGAAGACTTTTTCCAGCTTTACTGAGATATAATTGACCAAAAACATCGTATGCGTTTAAGGCCTACAACATGATGATTTAATGTACTATGTATATATTGCAAAATGATCACCACAATAAGTTTAGTTAACACATCCATCATCTCACATAGTTACAAATTTGTTTCTCTTGTGCTGAGAACTTTTAAGATCTACTCTCTTAGCAACTTCCAGGTATACAGTAGAGTACTGTTAACTATAATCACCATGCTGTATGTCACACCCCAGAACGTATTCATCTTATAACTGGAAGTTCGTACGCTTTGACCACCTTCAGCCATTCTCCCCAGATTTCAGTTCTTTTTGGATGCGGGTCTTTGCTACCACACGTGCAAAAAGAAGGGGATCTCTTGTAACTAGGTTCTGATGCACAGCTGTGTCCCACAATAGCAGGTACCCAGGATAAGGAATCCCATTCTTGGTTTTCTTTTACCACCAGGGGGACCCCTGTTACAAGGACAAGGAATTGTTGAAGTGACCTCAGTAAAAATATTTCAATCATCAGCCAACATCCGAAACAAGATGTTCCCTCTTCTTCAATCCCTACATCTAATTGGTCACTAAAACTTGTCAGTCCCCTCCCCTGGCCAATATCTGGAAAAATCCTTCCCCTCGTTGCCATTTCTACAGCCCCTGCCCTAGTTGCAGCGCTTCACACCTTACCCTGGATAATTGCAATCGCTTCCTAAAGGGTTATCCTGCCTCCTTTCCTTTCCCCCTCTGGCCCCTCGTCCATCCTGAAGTCAGAGGGAGTTTCTAAAATATCTGGTCATTGCATTCCTGTGTTTTACAACTTCACCTAGTATGCCGTTGAATCGAAAATGAAGTGTTTTCACCTCCCAACTTTTATCCTGACCCTTCTCAGCCTGGTAAAGATAATGTTTACCTGTCAGGCCTCACACATCCTGATTTACCCTGAAACTGTAGTGCGATCTTGAATAAGTTATTTTGCATCTATGATTTTCAACTTCCTCATAAATGTAATAGGGAAGGTAATTAAATGAGATAAACCATGTGAAATTCCTAACGTAGTTTCTGACCCTATGATGAAATTTACATTTGTTTGTTTGACAAATGCACTTTTCACGTTGAAAATAGTGGTGAGGTATATCCCAATGGACTGCATCACTGTAGCAATCTATTCTAAGTAACATTTACTCTTGTTATGCCCCCTGCAAATTCAGAGCTATTACCCATGTCCTTTTCTTTTTAAGTAAACATTATTATTGGGTTTCCCCAGCTTTCTACTCTGAAATGAGAATTTGAGTACAAGTGGCTTATTTTGGAGATGGCCCCGAGGAATCTTGATAAGAAGTGGGAAAGTAACATGGGGAAGGTATGGGAGTCAGTGAAGAGTACATTAACAAGGAAGTCCCGCTGTGGGTACCAGAGCTCAGCCACTGACGTCTCTGGAAATGGTATAGAATACACACCAGAGAGCAATGGAGTTGGGGTGTTTATGTGCCACTCCACTTGGTCCTTGGTTAGGATTACTCCTGGGTGGGAGTGGCTTATTCTCTGCTACCTCTGGGCTACTGCTCTCACAGCCAGAACTATTCTTAAAACCAGAGAAAGGCCTTAGGAAGACCCGATACAGTGGCCACCTGCTGGAATGCACTGAAGTGGTGAGGCCTGAAGAGCCTTGGGCCAGGTACAGGCACTGCAGAAGAATCTAGTTGCTCCACAGTCCTTGCCAACACTTGGCACTGGCAATTTCTTTTTCAGTTCTTCTTTTCATTCTGTGGTTGTAGGCTGATGTCACATGTTTGTTAGCTGTTTTAGGTAATCATCTTTGTGAAGGATGTGAGCCTTTTGATCATTTTTAACATGGGTTGTCTGGCTTTTTTTTAAACATATTTTGGGAGGATAGATCAATACATATATACATACATACATACATACATGTTCTTTGTTGGATGTATGTGTTGTAAACATCTTACTCTGATCAGTGCCTTCCCTTTTCTTTCTTATGGAGTATCTTGATGAAGAGATATTCTTCATGATCAGTGCTTTTGTGTCCTGTTTAGGAAATCTTTGCCCACACAAAAGTCATGAAGACAGACTTCTAAGTTGCCTTTGAACACTTTATTGTGTAATCTTCAACACTCTGGTATATAATTCCATGAAATATTTTTATGTGTACAATGTAAGAGGGGGTTGATTCTTTTTTCATATCTATATCCAATTGATCAATCACCATTTATTAAAAAACCATTTTTCCCACTGCCCAGAAGTGGCACCTTTGTCATAAGTCAAGGAGCCTTATATACATGGTTCTGTTTATGAATCCTCAAGTTTTTACCACCTGACTAAATAGTCTTAGCCATACAGAAAATAAACTAATAATAATAAACTAACTTAATCTAGTAAGAGATATATCCAAAA